CATAAATTCTGTCTGTATCAAGTCCAACATTTGTTTTGTATCTTTACTGGAACAAAACAATGTTGTATCATCAACAAATAGAACACACCTAAAAAGACCTGATTCATTTACCAAATCGTTCACAAACAAAATAAATAACTTAGGTCTGAGAATGGAACCCTGTGGCACTCCACATGAGATGTTACAAAACTCAGATCTTACATTATTTATTTCTACAAATTGTTTTCTATTTTCTAAATAACTAGATACCCACTGTAATGCAGGTCCTCTAATACCATATTTATTTAACTTTTCAAAAAGAATAAAAAAGAACTTAAACCACGAATGGCTTACTGCCAAGCAGGAAGTAGTTAAATAACAACCTCTAACAACTTTTCAACTACGTTTTATTTTAATCTAGAAACTTCAAACAACTTAAGTTTATGTATTTCACCAAAATAAGAGTCACAAAACAGCTGTTTCACTAAATATATCAATTTAAATTTACATTCAAAATCAAATTTAATCCAATTGAAGTTCTTGTGCAGATATTAGTTTTTTGTCAAAATGAGGCTGAACATTGATCAGAAGATTACAAAATCTTTACTAACTCCTTCCACTTCAGTCTGCAGAGGAGCACTGATGATTAACAGCCCCTCCCTCWTTATTTGCCCTGATGTAAATGGAAACTTGACAGTCCTAAAAGGCACAACCATTCACAGATGTTCATAAAATCTGCAACAAACAGCCTTCAACAAACCTTTTCCACTATGATGAGATCGCCCACTTGAATGCTGCTGCTTTTAACCTTCACTGTGCCTGAAACACAGAACAAAGAGCAAACATATGGATATAATGAACTGAAATTCACAAGAGACAATTATAAATAAGAAATAGTCTACTACTGTTTTTAATCCAATCGTTTTTAAAAAGAATCAGTTGCTGCAGGCTGCACGTCAAACCAATCAGCTCAGTGTGTTTGGGAAATCTGCTCTCCTTGCAGATTTGAAGGAATGCTGGGGGAGTCCAGGCTTTTCTCTCATTCCACTTGGAGWGAACAGGCAAAACTGTTTGGAAAAGATCACTGACCCCTGAACTCTGCTGCGACCTTTAGGCTTTGCATATGTAAGACATTAAAGCGCATTAATATGGTTACACACTCAGAGCTCAGCAACATTTTGGGTGCCACTTTATAACAAACAGATAAAAAGAAAACCAACAATGTARCTTTTCATTTAACTAAACATTAAGTTGAACTAAAAACTGATTCGTTTAAAAGTGCTCAAAAACCCAAAGGGAAATGGTCTCCTTTTAAGTCAAAAGCCTTYATACAACGTAATGACACCATGAAGTTTCTAAAAACACTAATCTGCACAAGGGTCACTATGATGGAGGCAGCCAGTGATTATGTTTATGACTAAAACAAGCTGCCACATCAAAGGAGCAAAGTGATGGAAACCACAAGAGGCCTCCTGCTTTTTATTGCTGGTAGCACTTTATACCCAGGCCTCTTCTGTACACTTTTACATCTCTGCTTTGAATTACCCACCATTTCCCCTAGCCCCAATCAGTTTGACCAGGACCAGCTTCCTACTGTTATTTATACTGTTATACTCTTATTTATACTGTTATTTCTACTGTTATACTGTTATTTATACTGTTATACTGTTATTTATACTGTTATACTCTTATTTATACTGTTATACTGTTATTTCTACTGTTATACTGTTATTTATACTGTTATACTCTTATTTATACTGTTATACTGTTATTTATACTGTTATTTATACTGTTATACTCTTATTTATACTGTTATACTGTTATTTCTACTGTTTTACCGTTATTTCTACTGTTATACTGTTATTTCTACTGTTATACTGTTATTTATACTGTTATACTGTTATTTATACTGTTACTTATACTGTTATACTCTTATTTATACTGTTATACTGTTATTTCTACTGTTATACTGTTATTTCTACTGTTATACTGTTATTTATACTGTTATACTCTTATTTATACTGTTACTTATACTGTTATACTGTTATTTATAGTTATACTGTTATTTATACTGTTATTTATACTGTTATACTGTTATTTATAGTTATACTGTTATTTATACTGTTATACTGTTATTTATACTGTTATACTCTTATTTATACTGTTATACTGTTATTTATACTGTTATACTCTTATTTATACTGTTATACTCTTATTTATACTGTTATTTATACTGTTATACTCTTATTTTTACTGTTATACTGTTATTTATACTGTTATTTATACTGTTATACTGTTATTTATTCTGTTATACTGTTACTTATATGTCCAGGTCAGCTCAGGCTGATCTGGACATTTAAATAACAGACTGATAAACACACAAACTGCATCAGAGATCTGAAATCTCACCTCGTGTTGAAAGCTTGCTGTAAATCTGAGAGTTCACCTCTTTGTCTCGAAGGTAACATCTTATTTCTTCAATTGCCTCTCTCATGATGGTGATAATCAAAACCAGACCCTAAAGAGTTAAATGTGACAGTTACAGAGCAGAGAACAACAAACCAGCACACACATCCAAAGCTGAAGTTACATTGAACAATATTAACTGATGAGGAGCTGGAACAGAATGACCAGTTTGATTTATGACCTACCAAAGGGACCCAGTAGGTGTAGAGGGCTCCTAAGCGTAACTCCTCCACAAACTGGGAGCAGGCCAACAGCAGGAAGTACAAGTTGAAGAAGTACTTGAACTGATTGAAGAGTACCTGAGAAGACAAAACCAAGAACTGTGAAACATTCACTGCCTGAAATATGACAACACTGAGACCTTCAGTGGTCACAACCAGACCTTCAGTGGTCACAACCAGACCTTCAGTGGTCACAACCAGACCTTCAGTGGTCACAACCAGACCTTCAGTGGTCACAACCAGACCTTC